TTTTCAGACCTTTGAACTCCTCTTCCTTTAATACCCTTCCTCAGGTAAAATGCTGTGTAGCACTCAAACCTATTAATTAATAACAATCTGGGACCTTGTAGTTGAAATTTACTGACTTACCTTGTTAATAGGTAATTATTTTTGTGACTGGCCTGGCGTGGAATGTTCTTGACCCAGCAGAAATAGTACCCCTTCTCCCCAGCTAATCTTCTTTTTCTTTATATAGCTATAAATACCACCCTTATACCTCCTATGTTATAAGAATTCCCAAAAACAAAGGATAAGAGGAACATCTTATGAAATTTTACCTGGAGGTCCAACTTTTCCATTTACAGTTTCCTAGGTCAGTTTCTCTGAATGCTTGTTTTCATGGATTTAGATTAGTTTAAGGCAGCAAATTTTAAAACTTTATCTTTTACTCCTCTTTACTGGAAGAGAATTGGGAGAATAATGAAGCCAAGTTGTTTTTTTTTTCCTTAAGATTTTATTTTTCCTTTTTCTCCCAAAGACCCCCAGTACATAGTTGTGTATTTTTTTTGTTTTTAGTTGTGGGTCCTTCTAGTTGTGGCATGTGGGATGCCGCCTCAGCATGGCTTGACGAGCAGTGCCATGTCCGTGCCCAGGATTCGAACTGGCAAAACCCTGGGCCGCAGAAGCAGAACGCGCGAACTTAACTACTCAGCCACAAGGCAGGCCCCAGGAGCCAAGTTTTTGCCTCTCCCTTTGTCAAGAAGAATAATAGTAGCCACAACAATAAAATAACTGACATGCTGAGCTGGCACTTACTATGTGGCAGGCATTCCACTGTGCTCATGTCGTTGAATTCTTACCACACAGTGTAATAATTATCATCATCATTTTACAAGGAAGGGCATGGTCTTAAAGCAGTTAAGTAATTTGAGCATGTAAGTGGTAGAGATGGGATATAAACTCACAGGATTTGTCAGGTAGGCTCTCTGGCATAATTTTAGACCAGAAATATCATTTGGAAGTTGGGTGGAAAAATGTTGGTGATTTTTCAGCTCTTTTTGTCAACATTAAAAAAAGAAGAAAGAAATCCCTCCGATCTATGCACTGTAACATGTTCATAAACAGTTCTTTTCCATGCAGTGGAGATTAGCACAAATTCCTGGGAAAGATGGTTAAATTGAGACACTTTGCTCCACTTCCAAATCCCGGCCTTTGTCAAGGAGAGTGTCTTGGACTGTGGCTGAGGGGGACTCCCCAGGGCACAGCTGCCTCTGCTGACTATTAGAGAAAGGGTGTGTGTGGCCGTCATCTCCACGTGGTGCTGGTAGGGCGGCCAGGCCTGCTGTGCGCTTTAACTGCTGCAGCTTTCCTGCCCCGGGTTGGCCCTGCCTCTAGGTCTTGGGCAGCTGGGAGGAATGAAGGGCTTCCTGTGTGAGCCTGGCATTGCCACGTGTAAAAGTCTTATTTATTCTGGGCCCTGTTATTCTCTGCTTTCAGTTGCTTGAGTCTCCCCGTTTTGACCTCTGACATCTGTGTCATCGGTACAGTATCATAGTGAGACTTTAGATTGAAATGAGCCTTAAACCTTGTCTGCTTCTGCCTCCTCCCTCCTCATTTTGTAGAGAAGGAAGTTGACTCACAGACATGAATTGAACTCTCCAAAGCTCTGGGACTGGTGGCCAGGACTAGAAGCCAGTCTTATGACTTCAGTGATTTTTTTTCCTGTTACAAAGTGACTGGTACCTCCCTGTGTCTCGCTTCCAGCCTCTGACTTGCCCCTCCTGATCCTGGCTTGCCGCCTGTCTTCCTGATCCCTTGGCTTTGTGTCCTTCACTGATTGAGGGAACAGTTGTTTGTGTTAATTCCAGCTTTGGAATTACTGTGTGACCCCTGGTAAAGTCACTTTGTGCCTTAATGTCATTATCAGCAGGTTAAGTAGGACTCTTATCAAAGAGGTTCTTAAGAAAATGTAAATCATGTGAACGGGTATCTGTTTTATTAATATTTAATGGAAGAGACTTTTAGAAAAATTAATGAAAATAAAGTATAGGAAGAAAAATCAGTTAATAAACGTTTCATGTTGAGCAAGCTGAGCAAAGACTGATGAGAAGATGCGAGAGACGTTAGGCCAAATTGTTATGGACTGTAGTTAATTGGAGAGGGTCCTATTTTCCTGCTTTGTTCCTTCCACAGAATACCTGTTGGATCAAATTCTGCTCTGCAGGTGGCAATGTAGATTAATTTGTAGGTTTTACTGTGATCCATTTGAACTTGGAAAAACATATGCCTAAGTTGTTTTTAACAAATCTGATTACTAAAGAGGGATGTAGAATTTTTGATGCTGCCGTGTTTTGGTATAATAAAAAAATTAGATGCTTGGGTTAAATTCAACTTTTTCAATCTGTTAGCCTTTTTGAAACTTAGTTTTCCCTTATGTGAAATGGGGAAAATATACCTGGCTTACAAGTGAGAGTTATGAAGATTAAGTAAAGTAGCACTTATAAGGTGCTTGGCACATAGTAGGTTCATAATCTGAGCTATCTTCCTTCCTAATGGTTTCACATTTTCTGTTATGTTTAGATATCAGATATCCATGTTACTGGAGAGTCAGAGGACATGTCTGCAAAAGAGAGGTTGCTGCTGTGGACACAGCAGGCAACAGAGGGTTATGCTGGAATACGGTGTGAAAATTTCACTACCTGCTGGAGAGATGGAAAACTATTTAATGCCATCATTCACAAATACAGGTATGGAATTTGTGAGTTTTTTCTTTAGACAAATATGAGATGTGTTTCTTTCACTTCCAAATCTTAAAATAACCTTTTCTTATTATGGAAGCAATACATATGTATGGCAGAAAATTAGAAAATACAGACAAGTGAAAATAAAAACATCCCATTCTCGTCACTGGAAGATGGTCTCTCTAAGCTTTAGTGCACATGCGCAGACACTCATAGCTATAGGATGTCTGGGTTTTGCCGGTGACTTGGGCACTGATGTATGAAATCCACAGTAGATGACCGAGATGGTGTAGATGGAGATCTGATGAGTAGTAAGGTGAGGGTTTAGTTCAGAGTTGGAGCTCACAAGTCTCCAATCATAATTTCCTAGTCTGGTTAGTCTGGACTAGGGTTGTTGGGTTTAACAACAGCTACTTTTATGGTGGTAAATGGTTTCACAGTGAGAATTATTGACAACTAAATCCACGTTAACTCTTACACTGCACTCACTAAGTGCCAGGCACGGTCCTAAGCAGTTTACATATGTTAATTCATTTATTCCTCACAACATCTTTAAGGGGATGTTGTCATCCACAGTTAACAGACAGAAACTGAGACACAGAAGACGCGCTTGCTTAAAATCACACAACCAGCAAGTGGCGGACTTGGATTCAGACCCAGACACTGGCTCTTGAGTCCATACTCTTCCTGCCTTATAAGAAGCTAAATTCCTGGAAAATATTTATTGGAAACGATGTATTCCTTGATCTGTTATTTTTCTTGGTTTTCAAAGATTACATCATGTTGTTGAAGAACTGAATCTATTCCTAAATAGACTAAGCTTGAGTTATAAACTCATTAAACTAACAAACTTGTTTGATTACAATAAAAATAATAATTATATGTGATAGTTAATATTTTGTTAGCTTTCAGCATGTGAGGCATTCTAACTGCTCTCCGTGTTAGCTCATTCAAATCTCCCAGTAGTCCCATAAAGCAGACACTGTTAATCTCCCACTCTTACAGATAGAGAACTGAGGTTGACCAAGGTCACACTGCTAGCAAGTTACCCTGCTCTGTTTGACTTGAAATCCCATTCTCCTCCCCTCGTTTCCCTTTCTTTCTCTCCTCTTCTTCCTCCCGTTTTTATTTTGGAAATTTCAGCGTCTCCAAAACTGTAATGAATCTCTCATGTATCCACACCCAAGAGCCCTCTTTAAACACTATAATAGTGCTCTTCCTTTATGGGACACCATTTCAATAGAGGTAGATGTAAGTTGCTGAATTAAAAAGCAAAACTAGGATCAGCTTGCCAACGCTTGTCCGGAGTGAAGCACCACATCTTGAGTAACACGGTGCCAAGAGGGCTTAGTGGTTACAGACATGGCGATGATCACACTGCACTTCCCATGTGACCTAAAACACGAGGCCGTCAGAAGGCCGTGGAGTTGGACACATTCTATACCTGGGCTGATAAGATCTTCTGGGCCTTTGAAGAAAAACATTTGGATTCTTATACCTAAAGGATTTATGTCAGGATGCATCTTTGTGGGTGTGCTCTGTGCTCTTCTTTGAAGTGTTTTAGGTAGAAGCAAAATATTTAGAAGCCAGTTATTCTTCTAAAATAATTGACTTTTAAAAACAATTGTCTCCAGGCTTTGTCTCTTCAATACTTATGAAAGATTATAAGTACAAATGGGTATATACATGCTGTGCGTTTTTCTCCTAAGGACTTAAATGTCACTGTGTATGTCAAAGATCCTAAAATTTCCAAGGGAATTTTAATGTTACAGAGCTTACATTGTTTTGGGAGAGAATTTGAATCTTGTGAATGTTAGTTGTTTTGGATTTCATTTTGGCAGAGTGATCGTTTTAAGAAAAGTGTTTAGCTTTAACTGTGAACTTCAGTTTCCTAGTTGGCTTTGTTTTCCTTTGTTAGAATTCATGGTAAAAATACGGAATATCTGGTTTAAATGCTGACAAGATTTCTTCATTGCTGAGGTTTTACGTTATCCTGTGCCTCGTAAAATATCATGGTGGTTTCTTTCACTAGAAGAAAGCTTTCATCGTTAGAATTGTATTTTAAGTTAAAGTCCTCAGGCCTTTCTTTTTACTTAAAACACAGTTGAGGGCTGGCCCGGTGGTGCAGCAGTTAAGTGCGCATGTTCCACTTCCGTGGGTTCGGATCCCGGGTGCGGACATGGCACCGCTTGGCAAGCCATGCTGTGGTAGGCGTCCCACATATAAAGTAGAGGAAGATGGGCATGGATGTTAGCTTAGGGCCATTCTTCCTCAGTGAAAAGAGGAGGATTGGCAGCAGTTAGCTCAGGGCTCATCTTCCTCCAAAAAAAAAAAAAAAAGAATTAAATAGATGGAGTTGAACTACACATGGTTTATGCCGTTGAATGCCTTGATTTACTTTAAAGACAAAAGAGACAAAGTTATAAGCAATTGAAAAATCACTATAAGCAGATTTTTGGATATTGGATGGTAATAATCACATTTAATAGGTAGTGCTTATTTAACAGTTGTTTATACTTGATAATTATTCCCATAAATTTTGCGATGTGTTTGAATTTGCTGTGGAAACATATCTGCTTAATTGGGCGTTTTTGGTATTTTTTTAGATTAAAAGTTTTGTTATTTATGTGAATTCTATTTGACTTCTGTAATGAGAATTATCTGAGGTGGCAGATGGGTTTGGTTGCAACTCAGATACCAAGTCTAACCATATGGAATGCTTTGTTGAGAAGGATCTTAGGAAGGAGTGAGGGCTTGGCAAGAAAGAACCTCATGATTGTGGCAGGATGGAAGGAGGGGTGTGGTGTCGCTCCTGCAGCGAGCTTGCATGCCCTGGGTAGAAGATGAAAGACGTCTCTGGAGACTAGAAGGAAAATAGATAATATTTGTTATTTAAAGTAAACCAGCAATTACTTGTAATAGGTGATTTAATAAGATTTTTGTGGAGATATCTTCTAAAGACTTAGAAATATTGATCTGAAATGGGAACAGAGTTATAGCCTCCTTCAGATTTTGTATTAATGTAAATATTACCAAAAGTTATTAATCAAGTACATTAATTTGGATTGTCTAGTATATTTTTATTAGTGTTCTCTCATAGAATATGACTTTTGAAAGTGGAGACAATATTTGTTAATCCCAGTGAGCGATTCTTTATTAACTATTCAGTTATCCTAAAATGTTCCATAGAAAACTTAATTTTGTAATATTTATGTTTCTTGAAAGAACTATATGAAATGAAAATGAAGAGGAGTTTATATAATAAGACTAATTTATAGATGTCAGATGCGTAAAAAATGATCTATGAAGGTAAAAAGAAAGCGACTGTCACATAGTAGGTCCCCAAGAAATAAACGCAGAATGTTAACCATGTATCAGTTTCTGTCCCAGCTGTTTTTCGTATATGGTAGCTTTTAAAATTATCACAATCCTGTGAAACAGATGGCACTATTTCCGTTTTTATTAAGTTATTAAATTATCAAAGGAACTGAGGTCAAAAGATAACATGCTCAACAGCACATATGTTTTAAATACTGGAGGTGATTGCCCTGGATTCCCATGTACTTCTGTGTAACTATTTATTTCATTTCCTGTAAGCAAACTAGATCTCAAGAAATGGAACTACTGACCAGAACAGTTGTGATAGTCCACCCTTGAAAACTAATGATATTCATCAAAGATATGTGAAAATTCCTGATGAATTTAAGAAATGTCTAAATGAATAGTAGTAACATATATAACCGCCAACTAAGATCTTTGTCTCTTGTAAGAAATTAATGAGACAACACTAATTGCTTAACTTAGAATTAGCCATCTATAAAAACAGCATCAGCAACAATTCGTAAGGATTATAGATGATAAGAGAACGTTAAGATGCTTAGCATGAGTAAGAGCAAAATAAACAATGAACTGTTCTATAGTCTTAGTATAGCGTATTATCCTAAAAAGGATGAAGAGCCTGGGTTATGTGTGGGTAATAAGAATCATAAATAAGTATGATTTAGTGCAAGTGATTATAAGAGATGGTTCTCTAGGTTCTATTTAAATAGATCACTGATAAATCCATCATGTTTTTCTATTAATTCCATCTTAGGAAATTCTGTTCCTAATTCCTTCTAGGAACATCTATTTGTTATGTTCAGTTTACAGTGGAAAGGGTTCAAATAGTAAAAATACCATATATCTGTACTAGTTTCTGCTTGTTTGGTTTTGTATAGTTGAACTTGTCTTTAAAGCATATTAGAATCTTTTTACTGAAAACCACAACTGGTGAGAGATCTTAGGTAAATAAGCCTCACTCTTGCCCCTAACCTGAATTTTCATTCAAAAGAATAACAAGAAAGACTGGATTTGATGGACTTAGATCAAAAGGTTGTCACAAAAGCATCTGATGAGTAAGCAGCTTGATAGCGAGAGAGGATGAAGTAGAATGAACTGAGCACCAGTAGCCAAGGGACTCTAGGAGTGTCCCCTAAACACTAGTGGATGAATAAGTCGCCAAGAGGTAAGACAGACACGGAGGAGTAACGTTACTGTCCGTGGTACACGTTCTTCAGAGGCGGCTCTAACAAGCAGAGGGTGCAACTGAGAGTTCTGTGTGCTTTTTTAAGAGTATGCTCAGGCATCACAGTAAGACTGACTTTTTTCTTTCTGAGAGAAATAAAGCCCTGCCTTGTCTGACTTTATCAGTCTCTCCAAGTCGATATCTGCCCTAGAACATTGATGAAAGCCAAGTTCCAAAACAGTAGGCACAGCATCGCTCAGCGTGAAAACACATCTGCCTGAGCAGGCGTGGACATGAATGTGCGCCCACAGCCAGAAAGAACAAAGCGGGTGTTCTTGCACAAAGTGTGCAGCAGGGCCGGGCCAACCTAGGATGGCCACATGGGAAGATACTCAGAATGGCAAGACTGAAATGCTGCGGTTGGGGGGGTGTGTTTTGAAGAAAGATTGTTTCTGCCTACTAGTTTCTGCTTGTCCTATTCTTATTTTTAATTTATCCCCTTCATTCATTTCAATCTCCTTTTAAGGCCCCTGGCGTTCTTTTTATCAGCATTTTAAAAATATATTACCCAAGTAAGATGCAACATGTTTGAAGTAGGTTGTATTCAGGAGCATGCTTTTAAATATTTTCTAGTTAGGCAGCCAGGAATGTTTCACTTGTCTGAGTGTGTGGTTGGGTGGCAGTTATTTTTTTCATTGTTTGCATTTTGAATTAGAATTTAATGGGGCCACCACTTTCATTATATTAAGTGTGTAACGATGCTGCGATTGGGAAGGTCAGACTGCCAGGCGGTGGTCAGAGTCATGGTGTTTAATAGTATGACCTGGAGGCCCGTGATTCAGCCACGTGCTTGGATTCCGTCACACCTTACAAGCTCAACCGGATTGAACTGGTTTAATGCAGGGAGGAGGCCCTTTAGGGTTTGAAATGTTCCCATAGGAAGTTGGATTCCGCTGACTAGATGATTGTTTTCCCTCAGAAGCTGGAGTGCCCTCAGGCTGCAGAACCCAGAGCTATGGGTGTGTGTACGTGTGTGTGCACACACCCAGGTGTGGGCCTGCTTTGTGTGGCCACGGGCTGGGCACAGACACAGAGCCCTGAAGGTTATTCATCTTTTGGAAAGTTGTTGAGTATTTCAGTTTGTGTGGCAAAAACAGATTGCTTATTTACCTTACCCAGCAAACTCAAAACAGTTGAACTCTTGAGGGCCTAAATGGGTAACTTGTAACCATTCTCGTGTTTTTAAATCCGTGGAGAGCTCGCATGCACTGCCTGTAATGCGTCTGCGTCCAGGCGAGGTGTATGAGTGTCCACATCCCGTGACCGTTTTTAGTGTATCTGTGTATTTTTACGTGCAGTTTTAGGGATATGGTTTGGCGTGTAAAGACTCAGAGGAAGCATCTGCTTCTGTTACCTTCTTTCTGTGTTCCTGGCTCTCTTCCTCAGATTACTTTACAGAAATTCTCTAATACGTTCCAAGCCTTCCATTATCGTATGAAATAGATCCTCACAGACATGAAGTAAGGCATTGCCCCAATTCTCCTACTTCCGTTTTTGAGTCAGAAAACTGACAAAGTGACACAGCCACGATAGGAAGAAGGCTCACCTGTCGGTCCCCTCACGAAAGCTGGTAAATTCAGTAGCACTCTCTGCAGGAGGTGCTCCTTAGCACAGTCCTACTTTTTCTTGTATCTGTGATTGAAGAAAAAAAAAAAAAAGCAAGTAACCGGAAATGCAATACGTTAACATAATGAAACATTCAAATAGAATGAGAGAGTCTGTACTGAAATGTAATTTCTTTCCCCAGATTCCTAGTCCCTTTCCCCGAGACAACCACTGTTAAGTTTCTTTCATATTCTTCTAGAAGTTTTCTATGAGTATGCAAACACCTATTTTTCTTTTTAGGGGGAAGGTTCAGCTTTATTGAGATATAATGTACATAAGCACCTAATCTTGAACATGTATATAATTTTTTTCTACAACACAAATGAGAGAATAGTATATATATGTTATTTCACATTTTTCTCTTTTTCTCCTTAATTTATTTTGGACGTCTTTCCATATCAGCTCAAATAGGTTTACCTTATTCTCTTAAATACTGCATAGTATTCTACTGTATAGATGTAACATAATTTATTTAATAGCATCTTAATGATGGACATTATGTTTGTTGCTTTTAAAAAAAATGTATTGGACTTTGTATGTGTCTTTGTGCAGATATGTGACTATGACTGTAAGATAAGTTCCTAGAAGTAGAATTTCTAGGTGAAAGAGTAATGCATTTAAAATTTTAAGACATGTATCTAAATTGTCTGCCAAGAGGGTTGCATTGATACATACCCCCTCTGTACTGTTTCCCCTCCAGGATGCCTTTGAGAAAGAAACACTTCCTTCCTTTGTTAATTGCATTCTAGTAGCCCTAAACCCCATTCAGTTTTTTCTCTTCTTCTTTTTCTAATTTACCCCTTTATTCATAAACTTGTTTTTCTTTGGCTTTTAAAGTGTGTGCCAGAGCTGAAATTGCAGGCCTGTGTTTCCCTCTGTTTGGTGTCCAAGCTGTTAGTCTAAACATGTGTGTGTTAGAGTTTAGGGGAAAAAAATGACCAAATAAGTTGGCACAATTCAGAGTGATGTGATCATCTAAGAAGTTAGAATACCGTAGTGGGGGCTGTCTTGAGATCACATTGAGAGAGTGCCTATCACAATGCTGGAGATTTAGGAAGTATGTAGGAAATGTCAGTCTCCTCGGCTCCTCATTTGCTGCTCCCCATCCCCTAATCAGCACATGTGACTAGAAAGCCTGAGCGAAGATGGGCTTCGATTAAAGCCTCCCCTTATTTTGGAACCTGCATCCTCCTTCAGCATCTCCTCCCTTTCTCTTACATGAAGATTTCTCTTATATTGCGGGAACGGCCAGCACATCTTCACTCCATCTATTTTTCTTTGCTAGTCCATCTATTTTGTTACAACACTTCTTTTATTTTGACTCGTTTATAGATTCATATTCTTAGGTTTTTCAGTGGTACAACGTAGTTTAATATTTTATTTTCTACCAGAGTAAAAACTAAATTGCTTCATTCCCTGATTTTTGAGGGGAGGGTGGTATTTATCCCCTAGTCACTCAGGTTTACTTACAATTTACTCTCATAAGTTCACTAACATAGAGGTACTGAAGGAGTTACTTCTTTATCAAAATCAATACTGTTGCCTGTATTGATTGAAATCTGTGAGGTGGTTATGGGGTTGATCGTTCTTTGTGAAGGGAGAGTCGTAATTCACTAAGTATCTTTTAATTTCTGAGGCTGTTGGATTCCAGTCTTGAAGTGCTAAGAGAGCTTGCCGTAAATTATAGCGCTTCTCGTTCTTTGGTTTCTGCCTTGTCATTAGTAGAGAGTCACTTTGTGGAAAGAAATAGGAAGAATATTTTAATTCAACTCAGGTATCTAGTTTTGAGAAAAGGGAAAATTACCTTCTTAGCTTGTGGCCATCTTGGAGTTCTTGGCTTTGTTTCTTTCAACAGTATATGCCCAAATATGAGCAGAAAGACTGTCTACACCCTATTACGCAACTGTGGGTGGGTCTGTTGCATGTTCGTGTTTATTTGCTGGGGGAGAGGGGACGACCCTGTTACACATTCCCTGTACCTCCCCCCAGGGGAGGGGGCTCAGGTGAGATGCTTTTTGCACCAATCAGAACAGTCGGAATACGCTAAGCCTGAACATGATTTAATCCGAACACTCATCTTCAGGAATTTGTTATGGTAACTGCTCTGGCATCGTAGAAGTGAGGGCTATTTAGCGCATATTCTTGCTGTGCGATCTAGTGAAGAGCAGATGTAAGTGACATGTGTATGTGGCTTCATGCATCTGTGTGTGAGTTGGTGAGCTGTGTTCTGGAGTACAGAGGTGGTTCTAAGACTCATCTCCAGGTAGATGGAGTGGGTTTTTTTGTTTGTTTTTTTTTTTTACTCCCACAGAATCCTTTCCAGTTCCTTGCATGCTGCTGAGTATATACTAATTTTCCAGCAAAACCTGACCCTGCATGAGCCCAGCTATCTGCTTTGTCTGTGCACGTACCCAAGCCGTCAAGCGCACCAGCGAAAGTCCTAACTGCAGGGTAGATTGGTTTCACTATAACTTCATGATTACCGGCCTCAAAGGGTTCTGACCAGCAGCAGTCTTTTTCCATCTGTTAATTCACTCCTCCCCGCCTCCCCCCACCTGTCCTCTTCTTCCCTCACCATTAACTGATGATCTCAATTCCTGCTGTCAGAGAAAATTGAAGCCAGCAAGTGGAAAGTCTTTCCTTTTGCTGTCAAGGATACAAACCTACCTTCATTTGCATCCGTCCTTGCAGTCTTTGCTTCTGTTTAACAGAGGACTCCTCTCTCCACCAATCCCCACTCTGGTCTGGCTTCTGCCCCACAGCCACCACAGCGCTTTTCTAGGGTCGTGAGTGCCTTCTGTGTGGCTGAATCCCGTGGACCTTTTTTGGGCCCTATCTTTCCTACTTCTCAGTATTTGGCCCCATTGACCATTGTTTTCTTCTTGAAATACTTTTTTTCTTTAGCTTTGTGGCACTTCACGTCCCTGGTTTTTCCCATTTCTTGGGCTGCTCCTGCCTAGTTCCCTTTTCAGACTCAGCCTCTTTCACAAGGCCAGTAAATGTGCAATTTTTCGAGGTTGCCTGTTCGACGTTCTCCTTTCTCTCTCTGTTAACCCTCACCCATGCCTACACCCCTCATGACGATAGCCAGTGTTATAAAACTGAGTTCTGTGGGGGGGATTTGACCTTCTCAGTATCTCCTGGCCTGCCCACTTCTCCCCACTGCTGCTGCATTCTTTTGCAAGTCACCCTAGTCTCCTACCTGGATTCTGTGGGAGCACTTTCACCACTTTAAATTTCTTCTCCATGTGACTTCAGATCTGATCACTTAATCTCTTATAATCCTCCTTAATGCATTTTAAAGGTTTTCCTTCGTTCTTAGAAAAATGTTCAAAATCCTTTAAGAAGTTCGTAAGATTCTGCATCATCTTGGCCCCTGCAGTCCATCCGGCCTCCTCTCTCAGCATGTTCCCCTTGCTGCTGGCTCCTCGCCCATGTGCTGGTCTCCTTGTCCTCGAGCTCCTTGCAAGCACAGAGCATGTGTGTGCTTTTCCCCTCTCCCTGGCTTTCCTCTGCAGCCAGCTTGTCTCCGGTTTACTCTCGAGCTCCCTTTGGAGCTATGAGCTCCATAGACACAGTGCCTGTGTTCTTAGTGCCTCACTGCCCGGCACATGGTAGATGCTTTTTAAATATTGAGTGAACAAATGAACTTGCTGGTTTGTTGGCTTGGAAGAGTTATTTATAATTAGCATACCAAGTTATGCCTTCTCTGATTACATTTTATTACATTGCTTATGTGCCAGTGGATTTAATAGCCTGTGTACATTGCTCTTTGTACTCAGATTCACAAGTGCTTTCACACGAATCTTCTCTTGAGACTTGGGGCACATCAGCTGGGTTCTTTAAACCTTATGCCAGTGACACCCCAAAATACCCTTCCTCCATCTCCACAAGGATTTCTGGATGCTTCTTAGGGATAAATGGAATTCTAGATGATTCTTGAAATTCCTGATTTTTCTGTAATTCCTGATTTGCATTTTTTGTAGAAGGGAACTGAGATACAGGTTTCTGGATGTGTGTTTGAAATCAAACGGAGAGCAAGTTAGGAGTAAATCATAGGACACCTGAATCATGGCCCCATTACTTTTTCCCATCTCATTATAGCCTTTTCTCTCAAGTATGTAAAAATTGTCTTTTAAAAATTTTTAAGTTTTGGGGCCGGCCCCATGGCTGAGTGGTTAAGTTTGCGTGCTCTGCTGCAGCGGCCCAGGGTTCGGATCCTGGGCGTGGACATGGCACCGCTGGTCAGGCCACGTTGAGGTGGCATCCCACATCCCACAACTAGAAGTACCTGCTACTAAGATATACAACTGTGTACAGGGAGGGTTGGGGAGATAAAGCAGAAAAAAAAAAAAGATTGGCAACAGTTGTTAGCCCAGGTGCCAATCTTAAAAAAAAAAAATTAAGTTTTAAAAACTGTGGTAAAATATACATAACATAAAATTCATCATCTTAACCATTTTAGAGTGTCACTGATGTTAAATACATTCACCTTGTTTGCAACCATCACCACCATGCATCTCAAAAACTCTTTTCATCTTGGAAAACTGAAATTTGTGTCCCCATTAAACAATAACTCCCCATTCCCCCCTCCCCCAGCCCCTGGTGACCACCTTTCTACATTTTTTTAATCTGAGAAAAGTTGCTCAATGTCCTTTCAGATGATTAGATATCTCAAATCACAAACTTTAAGGTTTTTTTTTTCTTTTTTGGTGAGGAAGATTGGCCCTGAGCTAACATCTGTTGCCAGTCTTCTTCTTTTTGCTTGAGGAATATTGTCCCTGAGCTAACATCCATGGCAATCTTCCTCTATTTTGTATGTGGGATGCTGCCACAGCACAGCTTGATGAGCACTGTATAGCTCTGCTCTGGGGAAGTGAATCCCAGGATTCCAGAGTGGAGCACTCGAACCTAACCGCTACCTGACTGGGTTGGTCCCAAGTGTTTTTTTTTTTCTTTTTTTAAATTTTTTATTGAGTTAATGATAGGTTACAATCTTGTGAAATTTCAGTTTATATTATTGTCTGTCAGTTGTGTTGTAGGTGCAACCCTTCACCCTTTGTGCCCACCCCCCACCCCCCCCCTTTCCCCTGGTAGCCACTAATCTCTTCTCTTTGTCCACAGGTTTAAATTCCTCATATGAGTGGAGTCATACAGAGATTGTCCTTTTCTATCTGGCTTATTTCACTTAACGTAATTCCTTCAAGGTCCATCCATGTTGTTGCAAATGGGACAATTTTGTTCTTTTTTTACGGCTGAGTAGTATTCCATTGTATATATATATCACATCTTCTTTATCCATTCGTCTGTTGATGGGCACTTAGGTTGCTTCCATGTCTTGGCTATTGTAAATAATGCTGCAATGAACATTGGGGTGCATGGGACTCTTGGAATTGCTGACTTCAAGCTCTCTGGATAGATACCCAGTAGTGGAATAGCTGTATCATATGGTATTTCTATTTTTAATTTTTTGAGGCATCTCTGTACTGTTTTCCATAGTGGCTGCACCAGTTTGCATTCCCACCAGCAGTGTATGAGGGTTCCTTTTTCTCCACAACCTCTCCAACATTTGTTACTATTTGTTTTAGTTATTTTTATCATTCTAATGGGTGTAAGGTGATATCTTAGTGTAGTTTTGATTTGCATTTCCCTGATGATCGGTGATGATGAGCATCTTTTCATGTGCCTATTGGCCATCAGTATATCTTCTTTGGAGAAATGTCTGTTCATATCTCCTGCCCATTTTTTGATCGGGTTGTTTAATTTTTTGTTGTTGAGTTGTGTGAGTTCTTTATATATTATGGATATTAAGCCTTTGTCGGATGTATTACTTGCAAATATTTTTTCCCAGTTAGTGGGTTGTGTTTTTGTTTCAATCCTGTTTTCCCTTGCCTTGAAGATGAAGTCCCATTTGTTTATTCTGTCTATTGTTTCCCTTGTCTGAGAAGACATGGTGTCTGGAAAGATCCTTTTAATACTGATGTCAAAGAGTGTACTGCCTACATTTTCTTCTAGAAGCCTTATGATTTCAGGTCTTAGCTTTAGGTCTTTGATCCATTTTGAGTTTATTTTGGTGAATGGTGAAAAAGAATGGTCAATTTTCATTCTTTTACATGTGGCTTTCCAGTTTTCCCAGCACCATTTGTTGAAAAGACTTTCTTTTCTCCATTGTATGCCCTCAGCTCCTTTGTCGAAGATTAGCTGTCCATAGATGTGTGGTTTTCTTTCTGGGCTTTCAATTCTGTTCCATTGATCTGTGCACCTGTTTTTGGACCAGTACCATGCTCTTTTGATTACTGTAGCTTTGTAGTATGTTTTGAAGTCAGGGATTGTGATGCCTCCAGCTGTGTTCTTTTTTCTCAGGATTGCTTTAGCAATTCAGGGTCTTTTGTTGCCCCGTATGAATTTTAGGATTCTTTGTTCTATTTCTGTAAAGAATGTCATTGGGATTCTGATTGGGTTGGTGTTGAATCTGTAGATTGCTTTAGGTAGAATGGACATTTTAACTATGTTTATCCTTCCAGTCCATATGCGTGGAGTGTCTTTCCATCTCTTTTATGTCGTCATCCATTTCTTTCAGAAAAGCCTTGTAATTTTCATTGTATAGGTCTTTCACTTCCTTAGTTAAATTCACCCCGAGGTATTTTATTCTTTTTGTTGCTATTGTGAATGGTACTGTGTTCTTGAGTTCTTTTCTGTTGGTTCATTATTAGAGTATAGAAATGCTACTGATTTTATGTAAGTCGATTTTATACCCTGCAACTTTGCTGTAGTTGTTGATTACTTCTAAAAATTTTCCAATGGATTCTTTGGGGTTTTCTATAATATAAGATCATATCGTCTGCAAACAGCGAGAGTTTCACTTATTCTTCCCCATTTGGATTCCTTTTATTCCTTTTTCTTGCCTGATTGCTCTGGCCAGGACCTCCAGAACTATGTTAAATAAGAGTGGTGATAGAGGGCATCCTTGTCTCATTTCTGTTCTCAGGGGGATGGCGCTGAGTTTTTGCCCATTGAGAATGATGTTGGCTGTGGGTTTGTCATATATGGCCTTTATTATGTTGAGGTAGTTCCCTTCTATCCCCATTTTGTTCAGAGTTTTTATCATAAATAGCTGTTGGATCTTGTCAAATGCTTTCTCTGCATCTATTGAGATGATCATGTGGTTTTTATTCCTCAGTTTGTTGATGTGGTGTATCACATTGATTGATTTGTGGATGTTCAACCATCCCTGTGTCCCTGGTATGAATCCCACTTGATCATGATGTATGATCCTTTTGATGAATTGCTGTATTCGGGTTGCCAAAATTTTGTTGAGAATTTTTGCATCTATGTTTGGTCCCAAGGGGTTTTTGATTTTGATTAAAGAAAAATATCTGGGGCTGGCCTGGTTGCCTAGTGGTTAAGTTCATGTGCTCCACTTAGGTGGCCCAGGTTTGTGAACTTGGATTCCATGTGCGGACTTATGCACTGCTCATCAAACCATGCTGTGGTGGTGTCCCAGATACAAAGTAGAGGAAGAAAGGCACAGATGTTAGCTCAGGGACCATCTTCCTCACCAAAAAAAAAAAAAAAAAAAAAAAAAAATCTGTTACCAAATGCTGTCTTTTCCAGACTTCATCATTTTACAGGGTATTCCCGAGTTCAGCCAACATGTAATGTCCACCCGCCCTCCCATCCCCAATCCTAAACGTGTTCTTTTCCTCTAGATTTAAACAATAAAAATCAATACTTGAAAAGAGTGGAAAGCTTCACCGTCTCCTCCTGAAGGTGTCAGGCAGTGGGCATGCTTGTGTTTGTATGTGCTTTGCGTTGTCTTGTACATAATTATCTGCTAGTACTTTGGATTTTCTTGTCAATACAAAATGTTGGTAATTTTGAAAGAAAATGAAAGATTTATTAGAGACAAGAGGAATTCTAAGATGGTTTAGTTCCCAAACATGCCTGATCAGAATTCCTGGGCGGAGGGACCCTTGTTAAAATGCAGATGACCAGGCCTTTGTCTATATTCTGGTCAGTCTGGATCAGGGCACTAAAACCACTCCCGGGGTGGGAAACAATGGTATAATAAATAGTGAGGAGTACTGTTTTGGTAACAACCTGAAACTGCATCTTATTTCTTATAATTTATTTTTCTGAGTATGCCAGTACACACATGCACTCCTGCCCACACTTTCTTGTGTTTCTTTATGGGTATTACCGTCATCATCATCATTTTCCTCAGTAGTAGAAGCATGAATTCTTCTGTATTTTCTTTATTTTGGTTTTTCAGCTTCTTATGAGATGTTACTGTTTGGTCAGTTCTCGGGTTGTAATGGCAGCATAGTGTAACAGACTGCTCAGGCTTTGGATCGGGAGCGACCTGGGTTCAAATCCTGACTGCCTCTTGTCAGATTGGGCTCTTGTTCAAGTTATGAAACTTCCTTAAGCTTCGGTTTTTTCAGCTTTAAATTCAGGGTGATAACACAACCTGCTGCTTAGGGTCGTTGAGAGGATTCAGGGAGATAATACCTTTACAGCCCTCAGTGTGTTGCCTGCCGCTTAGTACGTATCAATACATGTTAATGCCTGTTGTTTTGTTATGATGATTATTTTATAAGGCATGCCAACTGGCAACTTTACTAAACGTAGAGGGCACATGAGAGCATAAGAAGGGAAGATTCAGAACCTAGAAGCAGTAATTTATGTTTTTTGAAACTTTATAATGTATCCCTTACTTGTTTTCACCCCATACCTATTTTCCAGATTGTTTTCAGCAGAGAAAAGCCTTTAGGAAACCTCAAAAAGATCCACATTTGTTTAGATTATGGAGGAGCTATGACATTGTATGCTGTTCCATGTGGATTTTGACAAGGATTTGAAATCCTGATTGGAAGCCAGAGATGGTGGCTTTGTCTGTAGAAATTAGTGATAAAAAAAGAAAAGGAACAAACGTAGGATGGAAAATGTCTCCAGAAGTAATGAATCAATGATACCTTCCAATCCCCAAAGCTGATTCATTCCTTTGTTATTCATTCATTCCTCAAACCTTCATGTCCTGGGCATTATACTAGATATTGAAGATATAAATAAACGTGGATAAAACACAGGCTCTGCCCTCAGGGGGCCCACGGTCTAATGTGAGAGACGGATAAATGCATAGTTATATCAAATTGCGGTGAATACAGAAATAAAGGTAGAGAGAGCATTTGGGACCAG